CGGATTGTCTCGGCAGCAGTTTGTAGCTGATGTCGCAATCCTTGCTTAGTATTAAGTTCCTCAGTACTCACTTCCTCTGCTGTAATGTTAAATGAATATTAATAAAACTCTGGGTTAACGATGAAAATGGTTTATTTTATTTTAAATTCGGTGCTACATGTTTCGGAATTATCTTATTCCTTTATCGGGCACGACGTCAATGTTGAGGAGTTAAAATTAATTGTTTCGTTAAATGAATCAAGGACATATCAACAGAATAAAGTTTCAAGAAAACTTTTCTTTAAAGAATATCTCTCTCCAAAAAAGTATCGATCTACACGTGTTTTATAGTTGAGAAAATACTTTTCTATCAAAATTAACATAACACACTATTCCATTTTTTTTAAAAAAAAATTATTAAAATTAAACTCAGTCAGAGTCCATGTGTTGAGCACAAGTGGAAAAATTGAACTGCAAAACAATTGAATGTTAAATGCCTGTGTTAATCACTGTATGCCATCCTCAGTATCAGCCAAGAGGATGGCATCATCTGCATGTCTCTTATCCTTACTTTGTCGAACGTTTTGGTTAGATCAACGTAACAGAGAGATATGATTCTTTGATACATTTTCCTCAACATTGTGTGATCCGTACATACCATTGTTCATCTCGTTACTAAATTTCGCCATGCATCATTTGTGTAGGCAACTCCTGCAATCAGAAGGACGTAAGCAAACGATACATTCAAATGTATGTAAACATTTTTTTGCAGAAGATCAAATAAATATGGTGGTACCAGTTCTAAACAGATGAGATCGTTTGGTATTGTTGTGTAAGATGATTTCTGGAAGCAAAGACTATACGCTTTGTAGATGATGTGATAGCGCGGCTTAAACCAGGGTATTGGTGGATTGTCGGCAGCAGTTTGTATCTGATTTCGCAATCCTTGCTCAGTATTAACTTCGAGAGACTCGAGATTGCGATCGAGATGGCCAGGCCTATGAACTACCTCGACCTGTCCATCTTCCGGGAAGTACCTTATCTAGATGTCGCCGGATATCTATGAAACTAAAAATCCTTTACTACAATTTTTTTCACCTGTTACCCATTATTTGTCTCGAGGAATAAATCCCCAACTGTATGCGTATAGGTTGAGAATCACTTTGTATAATGTTGGTGAGATATGGTTGCAAATACTATTATTTAAACTCTTGAATAATTACTCTAACCAACCATTTATAGAAAAAGTTGGAGGAATACGTAGAATTTTATATTAGTTTGATAAAAGTTTGACAATTATAGGTAAAATTTACATTATTACATCATTTGTTTCTTAATGATATTGTCGTAATAATATTTTAAAAAAGTACATTTAGTTACTGCAAAATACTTTACATACCTTTAGATGAAATTTTAGAAACACAGAACTGCAATTTCTAGAACGCTGCTTGAAATAAACAGGGCTAATAAATGTAACGATTTAATAGGCTGTAACAGACCCTTTACTACCTACGATTGCCAAAAAACAACCCCGAACAAACGAGCAGATTCCTGTCAATTGTCAATTTATAGAGACATTAAAAAGTAGTTTGCAATTGTTACAAACCACTTTATAAGAAAACACTTTCATGCATTTTGTCCAGCTAAAATAGCAGTCTAGAACCACTGTGCGACGTCTGCGTCGTCCGCGTGCTGTTATAGAAGCTCATGGAGGGCCAACGAAATATGACTTTTAGAATTGTCGTTACATGGAGCTAATAATTTATTTTTAGTTAAAAACTACTGTGTATGTAAACTTTTATCCGATTAATTTTTTTATTATTTGTTGAATTTTTAGTATGTAGCTGTTGAGCGATTTGTGTTTTGTTCTTTTTTGCGAATAAGTAAGTATCTCTAATCACACTGTAATACCCTTGTTTATAGATATACATAGTTATTCAACCGATGTTAGTTTGTGCACATGATACCCAGATGGCAGGGTAATTTATGTGTCGCCATTCATAAAAATTTAAATTTTACTATACCCACCCTAACGTATTACTACGAAAAACGTAAAATAAGTTGCATATGTTTTAGTATTTCTTGCATAGAAAAAAATCGATATGTCCTTCGAGAAAAACCTTTTAATAATAAACTTTTTTAAGTAGGTGTATGAACAGGTTTTATGAGAGGAAACCAAATGCGTTAAATTTTTTTAAGAAGTTTGTTTAAAAGACTATATTTTATAACCCGTGCAACGATAGCAACAAACCTCCCAGCAACAAACTTTTACCCGTAATTTCCTATTTACTTTCTTAGCTGATATCTTCCTTATAATTACGGGTAGCGAAAAACTAAATGCACCACTTGAAAGCTTGAATCTTTCTCTATCTAAAACCGGGTTTTCGTCTACTGATAAGTTGATATTAAGATCAATAAAAAATGAAGAACACCGCGCTGTACTTAAAATAGCTCAAAATTGCCAAACTTCAAGGACTTGTGCAATTGTTACGAAACCGAATTTTAAAAAACTGTTATCACAGTCAGAAAGGGCGCTCCTTCAGCTATGTTAATCCGGGTTTTCGTCGGTCAATATCTATCGGCGTCATGCTTAAATCACCCTTAATGTCCATCCCTACACGCAGAAACGCTTAAATACTCTTCCTCTAAACAAGTTTCTTATTTGATAGGGACAAAACTATAGAAACATACCTATCTTATTGAAAATTTTCTGCTCTTTCTAGTGGTGTATAACATGCGGCGATCACGCGCTTGCACACGTATATTTTTGGCCAAAAACTGCTAAATTCACACGTTTTAGCCATTCTTAAACCCTGTTCGGATCGATAACTTTCTTATATGAGCAGGAGAAAACTCTGGAACCATATCTATCTTATCGAAAATTTCCTGCTCTTTCTAGTGGTGTATAA